CACTCTTATCTTTACCTTCTCAGCCATGTGACCCCTGCTCCAGCAAGTGTTACAAAACTCTGTTAGCCAGCCTCTGAATGCCCAAAAGGCACTTTCTGCAAGCCCGCATCCTGCCTGTAAGCACACAGCTTTACTCAGTCCATGGGCATAGATGCCTACAGCTGCTCCAAGTTGCTGGTGATCTACACTACACTCCTGTTCTTCTTTCTTGATGGTCCTGAGATTACCTCTTCTTGCTTCTGAAATGTGTCCTTTTAAACCTAGCAGGAATGACAAAACTAACCAATCCCAGCCTTAGAGTCCTGCACACTTTATTTGCATGATCTCACTTAATCATGGTGGGAATTAAGAAGACATTACATAGAAAAGCCAAATCAAGTAAATTGTTATTGTTGTTAAGTGTTGTTAAGTCGAGTCCAACCCATTGCAACCCTGTCTAGGGTTTCCGAGGAACAGCGGGTGAGCTTGAGCCATCGACCTTGCAGTTGAAATGACTTTGCAGTCTGACACATTAGCCAACAGTGCCACACCAGGAATCCATTACCACACCAGGATTCAAATTGTTGTTGTTGTTGTTATATGCCATGGAATCGGTTCCAACTCATAGTGACCCTGTACAGTGTTTCCAAGGCTGTAAATCTTTACAGGAGCAGAAAGCCTCATCTTTCTCCTACAGAACAACTGGTAGTTTCAAACTGCTGACCGTGAGATTAGAGGTACCAAAAGTCATCCCCCTGGCTTTTTTTGCCATTGTCTTTCATAAATGAAAGATCAACTCTTCCCCCCTTTCACTTACACATCTTGTACAATCACAATTAATCCTGCTAATGATTACTCACAGTTGAATGATAAAATTCTATCAGCATCTTTCACTACCTCCTTTCATCAGACCCAACTGGAAAAGAGGAAAACTATTTAATGGTGATTCTCCCTTGTCCCCCTCATTCTGAGACTAAGTACATCCATGAAAGTTTATAGGCCAGTCACTTCATGCCTTCATAAGCCCACATTTGTGATAGCCATTTTTAAATTGTCCATACCAATCAAACCAGTACTCTGAGGAGATAAGCATGTTCCTAGACTTGAAGAAGCTTCCATTCCAGTTGGAACTTTGAGCAACTGCATCCATAAGCAAAAGTTCAGTCCATCAAATTGTAGCAGTTTACACTTGCTCATAGTACCAACCATCTTCATCATCATCTGGTCGGGTTGTGGTCAACTCATCCCTAGCCATCCAAACTAGGTAAAATAGGTATCAGCTACAAGTTTTACAGAGTTCACATGCACTTCCATGCAAACCAGCTGGCCCTTTCACTCTTTCAGGCCATGAGCTCAAGAGTTCATACAACTCCCTAAACTTCAGACCAGCCAGCCTTTTCTAGTCTCTCTCATCTCTAGCCACTGCTGACCAGATAAACAGGTGCCAATAGAATGTGTCCAGACTGAACCCATCTTTTCATTGCTGCATTTCCCCCACTTTCACTCAACAAGTAGACCCAGGTGGTCACCAGTGAGCATATTAGCTGCTGCTCACTGGCTCTCTTTAACTTTCAATCCTAGAAGGGGGTTTTCTCTGATAGGCACAGGCTGTTCTTGCCTTGATGCCTCCAAGCAAACAACTTGCTTGAACCAAACAATCCTTTGTTTTCTTTTCTTCTTTTCAGGTCTTTCAGTCTGGAATCTCTTGTTCTCTCAGCAGTTCTGAATTGGCCTGCATGCAAATGTCCCAACTCTGAATGTTCTGTGTGGGGCTCAGGATTCCACCATACTTTACAAAGGCTTACTGAATGTGGACTACAATTTAGCTACTATCATAATTCCCAATATTCATTTCCATCATACATACATGTCTAGTTCACAATAATAAGCAGGAGAAACCAGTATCTATAAGGCAGTCAAACACATAAACTTTTAAAAAACAATCAAGTTGAATCTTTTTTTCCTCCACCCTTGGACTAACCCCAGTTATATGCATATGGCCTTGGGCAGGGTGGATCCAGTAGGCCCTGGCCCCTTATTAGCCATCTTGTATAACCAGTTTCTGGCAACTCCAGAAGCTGCTTTTCTTCCCTCAGCTGAAGCATTTTATCTCTTACATTCCTTTCAGCCATTGTTGTTGTTAAGTGCCTTTGAGTTGGTTCCAACTCATAGAGACCCTGTATATGGCTTGCAAGGGGTGGCTGATGGATTTGAACCACCATATTTGCCATTCAAACCAACCTTGCAGTCCCCCACAAGACATTACTGGTAACAAAATCCCATATCTAAAAATCTAAAGTTTCGCTTCTCATGCCTCTTTGTTCTTTCTCTTACAAAAAAAACCTCATGCTCCCATGTGTCTGGAGCCACTGCAATGAATCCTGCTTCTGAAGCCAACTGCATAAAACATGTGGGGACCATGTCTGACTTCCTCAGTCTTCAAAATCAGATCAAGGCCGATTCCTATGAAGACATGCCTCCACCCTACGATCTTTTTTATTCTGACACCAACCAGCCCTTCCCACAGCACTCTGCTTCACAGCAGAGTTCGATAATCCATTGCAACAACCACACAGAACTCATAACAACACTCATGATGAGTCTGGATTTTATCAGGAAAGTGAACAGGTTACAAATTCAGGATTAAAAAACAACTCATGATGTAGCATTTTTCTAATCAGGAATGCCTCTTCTGCAGACATCCCTCACTCTTGCCTTTGACTTCTCAGTTCTGTGGTCCTCGGCCTCTACCCTGCTCAGGCAAATGTTACAAAGTCTGTAAATACCCTAAGGGTACATTCTGGAAGTGTGCCTCCTGCCAGGGGTCACAAATCTTTACTCAGTCCCTGGGCCTAGATGCCTTCATTTGCTCCATGTTGACCCCTCTGCCACCACCTGTACTATAATCCTGGTGACTTTATACAATACACATTAGATTGTGAACACAAGGTTGGCAGTTCTAGTCCATCAGTCTCTCTGTGGGAGAAAGATGAGGATTTCTGCTCCTGCAAAGATATACAGCCTCAGAAACCCTATATAGGATACCTTTTGAGTAGGAACCAACTCAACGGCATTTTCCTAACACCATCAGACCCCAGGCACCTCAACCTTACAGAAATGTATTTATGCTTTTATTGAACTTTTCAGGAATAACTGAGTAACTTGTTGTTGTTGTTGTCAGGTGCCATCGAGTTGGAACCGACTCATAGCGACCCCATGCACAGCAGAACAAA